ATAGTACTTATAAAACTATGTGAAGGTTTATAAAAGTCTATAAAAGTGCCACACACAATATAAATTGCTCACACATTCATTATGTTCCTCCCACAGTGCAGTCCTTCACAAATGAGCTGTACCAGCATGGGTCCCCCACAAGTTGTACCTGGAAAAAACCTGCTCCAGTGTGGGCTTCCCTCTCCACGGGCTGCAGGTCTCTGGCGGGATCTTGCTCCATCCTGGGCCTCCCATGGTGTCAGAGCCTCCTTCATGCATCCTCCTGCTCCAGCATGGGCTCCTCCATGGGCTGCAGGGGGACAGCTGCTTCACCATGGTCTTCACCATGGTCTTCACCATGGGCAGCAGGGGCCACAGCTCTGGCATCTGGAGCACCTCCTGCCCCTCCTTCTGCACTGACCTTGGTGTCTACATTGTTATTCCCGTGTTCTCACTCTGCTCTTTGCTGTTTGGAATTTCTTCTGCACAACAATCTTCTGTTCTTAAATATGTTCTCACAGAGGCATTACTATTACTCCTAATTGGTTCGGCCTTGGCCAGTGGCAGGAAATTCATCCTGGAGCCTGCTGGCATTGGCTCTATGGAACACGGAAAGCTTCTAGCAACTTCTAGCAGATGCCACCCCTGTAGCCCCACTGCTACCAGAACCCAGCCACAGAAATCCACTACACACTATATTTAGCAGCTTGGTCTGCTGTGCCGTTCTGTGCAATGCCTGCACTCGCAGGAGAGTGGGATGTGCCTTGTGGGATGGATGGCAACACTCAACTGTGAATGTACTGAGGTGTTTTGAGGTCATGGAAAACATCCAGGTGTTCAGCACACTTTGAGGAAAGGAGGGTGTAATGCATAGTTTTTTTGAAGCCTCATTACTATTATAGCTCTCAAACACCCAGAACTTAAAGCTTTAGGAATGGGCAGTTACTGCCAAATATGTGAAACAACTAAAATTTTGTTATCTATCTCTTCTAACTGAGGTTGGCAGCATTTAGACATTGGATAAGATTTCCATATGGCATTCCCACTTGTTTTTTCAACTCTGCTATTTTCATAAATTACAGATGTTAGTACAGTAATTCCCCTAGTTAGTAATTCCCTTTTATTTAGTAAAACAAAGGGCAAGCAATCAGACTAATGGCCTCAACTCTAACCAAGTCTGGATAACTCTGTGGTTTTCCTTTGAATTGCATCTACACCAAAACTCACTCTATAGGCCAAATAATGAGCTTAAATTCAACATGTAAGCATATTTTTATTTTCCCCTCTTCTCAAAAGTTAATTCCATTTTTGTCTACTCAGATTACACATATATTTCCATCTTAACACAGATCAGTTGCAGTTTCTCTGTTGAGTTTCTCTGACCCTTGCACCCAAATTGTCTGCATGCCCACTTCTTCGCAAAGCAATCCAGCAGGACAAGTTCTAAAGAATAGAGACAGAAAGAAGAGAAGCAACAAGAGGGTGATAATCTCTATGAAACAGATTTTCTGTGTTATATTTTAAAAGCTGGGGATTTAAAAAGGAGGTGCGCATCAAGCTTTGGATTAAAAAAATAATTTAAACATGAACTGGTGAGCTGAAGGGGTAAAAGAAGGGTTCCCTGCTGTTTATTCCTCAAAACACAATCAAATGCCACACAGTTCTATTAAAATATCAAAACTGGTCCAGCCCTTTGTGAACTGGTTTTCTTAGTAGTCTGTAGCAGAAATTATCTGTGCTTCTGAAGGGCTCTTCATACTGCAATAGATAGGAAATGTGATTGTTGGAACGACAGGGATTACCACGTGAATTACTGCAATAAGGGAGTAAAAGAGATGGAAGGTGCTATGCTGAAGAGGGTAAAACTTCTAGGTTCTTCAAGTGCTGGTCTGGGAATTCTCTTGCTAAATTCACCTTTATTAGTGGTCTGGATCATAGAAGGTGCTACAGAAATTTGCATATAGCATGAAGGTTGGGAAAGACCTCTAAGATCAGCTAAGTACAAGCATTAACTTAACACCTCTGTGTTCACCACTAAGCCAGGTGCAACATCCTTATGACCTTGGAACACTTCCAGTGATGGTGACTCCACCACTGTCCTGGGTAGCCTGTGTCAGGGCTTGACAATTCCTTCAGTGGAGACATTTTCTCTAATATCCATCCAAACACTCCCTGGTGCAGCTTGAGGCAATTTCCTCTGGCCCTGTAGAGAGCTGACTGAGAGAAGAGCCTGCACTTGGCTTGAGACTCCTGTCAGGGAGTGGTAGAGAGCAAGAAGGTCCTCCCTGAGTCTCCTTTTTTCCAGGCTGAGCCGCTCCAGCTCCCTCAGCCAGTCCTTGCCATACTTGTGCTCCAGACCCTTCCCCAGGTCTGTTGCCCTTCTCTGGGCCCAGTAGCAGAATCCTAGAATATTCTGAGTTGAAAGGGACCCACGATGATCATCAAAGTGCAGGCTGGCCCTGCACAGGACAGCCCCAAGAATCACACCATGTACCTGAGAGCATTGTCCAAATATTCCTTGAACTCAGTCAAGCTTGGGGCTGTGACCCCTTTTCCTGTAAACTCCATCATCCGCAAACTTAGTATCCCTTTGAGTTCTGCATCCAAGTCATTCATAAAGATGTTGAAGAGCACAGGGCCTAAGATGAAGCCCTGCAGACCCCCGCTAGTGATCGGTCACCAGCCTGATGTCAACCCCATTCAATATAACTCTTTGTGCCTGACCTGTGAGCCAGTTGCTTATCCATCACATGACATGTTTATCCAGCTGATGGCTGGACATTTTATCCAGAAGGATCCTGTAAGAGGCAATTATGACAGACTAGAAAAAAATTATTACTGGCTTGAAACAACTAAGGTGTGTGTGGGGGAGTGGGCAGATCAAGTTCCGTGAAGGTTGAGTGGTGCTCTGACCCCTGCCTCACCTCCTTTTAACCCTCTAGTACAGCTGTCAGTCACTGGTATAAGGGAAGCAATGACTCACACCCTGCCCTCAAGGTTCCCAGTCTAGCCCTAGAGTGGGCTATCAGACTGTAAGCCCCACCTGAGTGGAGGGTGGCCACAGGAGGCCAGAGCAGATAAAAACTATTGCACTAAGGCGCACGTGGTCACATCCCTATTGTCTTGGATCAATGGCAACTGAGACTGTGCTGGATCCAAGGTGGTAGCACTCTCGTGCTCTCTCTGTCTTTTTTTCTTATTCTTTTCCTTCTGCTGATTTCCTCTTCTTGAAATTTGGGTAATTTAAAGTTAGGTGAGTTGAAGTTTGCCAAGTCAATGCTTTGTGAATTCTTTTATTTTGATTGAACATTGTCTTAAAATTTGCCAAGCTCCTTTATTTTCTAAAATTCACCAGTGAAAGTTTGTTGTTTAATCTTCTGAAAACGTTTGTCACATTTCTTCCTTGCACCTGCCTCAGGATCTAAAAAAAGCAAGCCCCTTTAAGGACCTTGTCTGGCGAGTCTGGAGTTTTACAACAATACTGAAAGCTTTACTGAAATGCAGGAAGATTATATCCACTGACTTCCCTTGATGAAATATGTGTACTACCTTGTCATAAAAGGAAATCAGATCTGATAAGCAGGACTTTACTTTTGTGAAGCTATGCAGGCTGTGATCAATGACTGCATTGTCCTTCAGGTGTTTTTCAGTACCTCCCAGAACAGTGCTCTCCATAACTGTACCAGGCACTGAAGTGAGACTAACAGGCCTGTAGTTCCCAGGGTCATCCTATTTGCCCGTTTTGAAAATTGGGACTACATTAACCAGCTTCCAGTCACCTGAGACCTCTCCGGAGTCCAAAGACTGTTCAGGTATCATTGAGAGAAGCCTATCAATGGTATCAGCCTGCTTTGTGAGTATTCTGTGATGAATCCCATCAGACCCTATAGATTTGTAGGGATCTAGCTGGAGCAGCAGATCCCTCACAACTTCAGGGTCAACTGTGAGTTTACTGTTCTCACAATCATGGTCCTCCAGCTCAGGGCTCTGGGAACCCTTTAGCCTGTCATCAGTGTTGAAGACGGAGGCCTTGTCAAAGTCCCTGTTTGCAAAGTGATCAGCCTCATCCTGGAACTGGCCAATGTCATTTCTACACTTTGACATTCTACTTTTGAACATTAATATATTTAAAAAACCTCTTTTTATTGTTCTGCAGAGTTCTGTGATCTTCAACTCCTGTGAAGTTTTGGCTGCATGAATTTGCACTACTGAGCAGTGAATTCACTGAGCAGTGACTTTTCTCCCTACTGTGTTGCTCCCATGTCACCCAAGCTGCTCCTGCTGTGCCTACACCTTTCCTTTTGCTTTATCTCCAAAAGAAGATTCTTGTTCACCCAAGCCATCCTTCAGCCTCATCTGCTTGACTTTCAACATTTTGGAATTGCCTGCTCCTGTACCCTTAGGAGGTGATGTTTGAAATGTGACCAGCACTGATGGACCCCAGCACCTTTGAAAAGCATTTTACCAGGGATCTTCCTTACTAGTTCCCCGAGCAGCCTGAAGTCTACTCTCCTCATATCCAGGAGTGAAGTTTTGCTGGCACTTTTCCTCCTGTCACCAGAGATTTAAAACTCAATCAGTCTGTGATTGCTGTGGCCAAGATGGCCACCAATCCCCTCTTTGCTCATGGGATCCTTTCTGTTAACAAGAAACAAATCCATGAGGGCATCTTTCCTAGTCAGCTCTCTTAGCACCTGTACCATGAAGTTGTCACCCAGGTGTTTTAGGAATCCTCTGAAGCTGCTTGTGCCAGCTGTATCGTGCTCCTACTTAATATCTGACAAGTTGAACTCTCATAAGAACAAGAAAGTTGATTTAGAGGTGTCTCCTAGCTCCTTGAAGAATAATTCATTGGTGTCATCGTCCTGGCTGGGTGGTCTATTGTAGACTCCCATGATGACATACACATCATTTGTTTGTCCCTTAATCCTTACCCAGAGGCTCTCAACTGTGCCAACTGTGAACTCCAGACATTCTAACCTTTCTTTTACATACAATGTCATCCCCCTGCCTCTTCTGCCCTGCCTGTCCCTTCTGGGATACATGGCACTCCATTTATGTCAAATCTCTAGGACAGGGCCAAAGATTCAAGCTCCTCTTGTTTGTTTCTCATGCTGCACGTGTCAGTATAGAAACATTTCAGGTGGGGTTTTTACTAGCTGACACCTTGTGGAGCAGATTTGAGTGGTCCCATTAGCACTCATTTCCTCTAGTTTTGGCACAACGTCCTATTTCTCATTGCTGATAAGCATAGCATTTTCCATTTCCCCCTTTCAAGCTAGTTTAAAGCTCTGTCAACCAGTCCTGCTAGTTCCTGTGATAAGAATGTTTTTCCCCTGTGAGAGGTGCATCCCATCAAGTGACAGGAGAACAGGTGTTGTATAGAGCATACCATGGTTTAAAAAACCTGAATTTTTCTGATGATACCAGTCTTGGAGCCTTATGTTGATCAAATGGATCTGCTTGTTCCTTTGAATTTTATTCCATGCTACTGAAAGAATCAAGGAAAACACTACCTGTCATCCTGATCCATCAACCAATCATCCCAAGACCCTGAAATACCTTTTAAGTCCCCTCGGACTTCTCTTTATTATCTCATCATTGCCAACTTGAAAAACCAATAACAAATAATAATCAGAGGGTCTTAGTAGACTGGAGAGTTTTCTAGTAATGTCCTTTACCTGAGCCCCTAAGAGTTAGCGGACTTCCCTGTGAATTGGGTCCAGTCTGGATATCAGACCCTCTATTCCACTTAGAAGGGAGTCACCTATGAGAACTGCTCTTCTTTTCTCTTAACAGATGAGGTCGTGATGCGGAGATAGAATGTGTTAATGTGTTGTCTTTACATGGCCCCTCCATCCCAGGAGGACTTTGTCATCTGTCTTTCTGGTTACAGGGCTTCATATATGTAGTAAAAAGAGCCAGTCCTATTTGTCATTGCCCCATTTTCAGAAAGAGGAGCTCTGATACAGCTTGTGCACCAGGAGCTAGAGAACTTCACCAACTGATGAGTGTCTGTCTTGTTGTGATGAGCCCAAAACTGAAGATGGTTGGAGACAAACAGAAGGGAGGAACTGAGAACATGCAGAGTGGAAAGACCATGAATATCCATAGCTCAAAGTAGTAGAAGCAGTAGTTCTGGTAGAAGAAGGATTTTTGCTGTTGCATGAGGTCCATACAGGGACTTATAAGAATAGGGACCATTTGATCACCTGCCCTTAAAGGAAGATGAACCATGATCACCTAGAAATAAATAGTCAAGAGGAGGCTCCAAAGCTTGGCTAATTCCATCTTACAACCCATATGTTGCAAAAATTCATATGCTTGGACAAATGGTAGCATTATGGAGAGATATGACTAAAGCCAAGATGACATTCACATAGAGCTGTCATGGTTTCATCCCAGCCAGCAACTCAGCCACACACAGCCACTTGCTCACTCCCCCACAGTGGGATAAGGGGGTAAAAGTGAAAACTCATGGTTTAAAATCAAGGGAGTTTAATAGATGAAGAAAAGACTGTGCACACAAACAAAGCAAAGCACACCAAAGAATTCATTCCCCTCTTCCCATGGGCAGGAAGGTACTCAGTCATACTCAGGACAGCAGGGCTCCATCACACCTTACCATGACTTGGGAAGACAAATGCTATCGCTTTGAATGTCACCCACTTCCTCCTTCTTCCCCCAGTGTTAAATGCTGAGCATGATGCCATGCAGTCAAAGATATCCCTTGGGTCAGCTGGGGTTGGCTATCCCAGCTGTGCCCCCTTCCAACTCCTTGTGCCCCATGGACTGCTTAGAGCATGAGAACTTGAAGAGCCCTTGACTGAGGTTAAGCACTGCCCAGCAACAGCTAAAACATCTGTGTGTTCTCAGTGTTATCCTCATCCTAAACCCAAAATATAGCACTGTATCAGCTCCTGGAAGAAATTAAATCAATCCCAACCCAAACCAGCATAATAATGAACATAAATTGAGTTTAGACTCTCAAAGAGGTTCCTAGCTGAGGGAGAGAGGTTAGTACAGACTCCTGGGTGTAGCATACCAAGCATGCTTTCAAGACTAATACATACGACATTGTACAACCTAGCTGCCTGAAAACAGGGAAGCAAGACAAATCTTCAGGCCCTCTGTTCCTCTGTGCAGACTTCCACAAGGTTGGCATGCAACCCATGCTTCTCCTTATCCACATAGCTCCTTCATCTGTTCATCTTTGTTTTTTTCTCCCTCTGAGTTCCATCTGAGGTCAGCTGAAATGGACTTCCAGCAATTTCAGTAAAAACAATTGCTGATCGAAGCAGCACTTTGGTTTTTTTTTTTTTTTTTAAAAAGCACAACACATGCATTCACAGCAAGGAATATTAGCAAAAAAAGTCGACAGAGTAGCCTAGACAGAAGAGGAAAACCTTATTTCACACATCAGAGCTTGTAAGACAATGTGAATTAAATCAGTGATTTCTACCTTAAAAGGAATGAAGAAGACATCTTAATTACTGTTTGTGCATTCATAACATCAGTTTTGTCACCATAGGGAAGAGATAATTACACAAAATGTGCTTCTGAGCAGTTGCAGTTAGGGTGTTCCAGGATACTTTTGTAGTCATTCCTGAATTTAAAACTCAGTGAGTGCAAAGGCAAGTGAATGTTTCAGTTCTTCAGCCCTTGGGATTCACAGTTGTGATTGGTGATTTAAAACACACAGCATGCTATTCATTAGTAAGACTGTTATCATTATGCCTCCTTCAATCAGCCCTTCTGAATTCTACCCTAACTTCAGTTCTGATCCAGTTCCAGACAGAAACCAAATTCTTGAGAAGTTTGTATTGGAAAAAAGAAAGCAAGGAAAATCAGAGCTCACACAATACCGCAGCACTCCAGATATGTATCAGCTACAACCCTTGGCTGCTTCATCGTTTGCAGCTGATTTACAACTGATATTTAGCAAACTCAAAATTTCAGAATGCAGAAAACCAAACAGGAGTGTCATGTTGCAGTTGGGAACACCAAAAGTATTTAAATACTGATATGAAGCTTTAAGCACTAATTAGAACAATAGGTTAGCTATGCTTTTAGCAATGCAAACTTTTAATTCATATGCCAGTCACACTCCACTTATGAGATTTCCTACACTGTGTAGGCATCACCATTTACACTTCAGTACTAGCAGTTAAGGGATGTCCTGAACATAGTTGTCTCCTCTAGCATAAGACACTCCTCTGTGTGTGTCCCCTGCTTGCCATCTGGTCTAGCCCAGTGTTAACTGGAAGCATGCAGCACTCACACATGGGGCCCATGGGCACACCCCAGGCTTGTGTGTCCCCCCCAAAACCAGCACACACTTTTTACCCACCTGACACCCCTGCCCAGACCTAAGGCCTCCTGCTTATCTGCTAGCCCAGCTTCACATTTGTTGGGGAATACCCACAGTCAACTGGGAGGGGAGGATGCAGACACTCTGCCCCACAGCCAGCACTGGGCTGAGATCCCTGAGCATCACCCCATCGGCTGGCACCTCCCCATTGACTCCCCCCAGCATCTCACACCCTTGGGATTTGTCTCACTAGCTGCAAAATCCCAGTTTGCTGCAGTTTTCCCAAAGCCCCTCCACTTGCTGTGACTGACAGCATTTGTTGTCTTTCTGTCACTGAACAGAATCATAGAATATGCCACATTGAAGGGACTCGCAAGGATCATCAAGTCTGACTCCATTCTCCTCGCAGGACTGCATGTCAGGTTTGTGTCCCTATATTTTTTATTTCTGACTTTCCCCCTTTTCCTTACTTTGCCATTTGACAAGATAACCTTTCAAAAGTGAACACGACTATGTTCCACACCCCTTATCAATTAACATGACCGGCCAACCCTGGCTCTCATTACAACCTCTCTTACCCTCTGTCAGGAGGATCTGCATCATTGTTCATGTTGTCCCTCTTTTCCTCCTAGTGCCTTCTGCATCTAAAAGGTCCTTGACCAGAAATGTTTTGAAGAGCAACAGTTTGCTCTTCCTGCTTGCAAGTATTCCTACTTTTTCTTGAAAACCGCTACAATTGTCCCTGTTCCTTTACCTGTCTAAAAAGCAGTAAAGTGACAACTTGGCATTGGAAAAAACATTGAGGGACACTTCTACGTTGGTGGAGACAAAACACCCCCTCCAGTTGTGCGGTAATGGTCACAGAAAACAAGCAAAACAGCTTTCATTACCAGCCGTATCTCGTTTGTCACTTCAAGTTTTCAGCAATGGTCAGCTCTCCACCCACCTAACCCTTGGGTGGATGTGCCTCAGGCTCTAGTTAAGGGGCAATAACGTGGCTTTACATGCAGCAAGTGCCGGTTGCCTCCAGGTAGTTTAAGAAAAAGCTGCAGCACACTGTCAACTTGTCTAGGTATTACTGGGTGTCTTTGCATACAGAAAGGCTTCAACACGTGTCTTCCCACTGCTGTTGCTTGGGTTTAGCCAGATAAAAAAAATCTGTGCTTGTAAAGCACAGATAAAGGCAAAAATAAACACTCCACACAACAGACAGCACAAGCACATGCGCCATTTTCTAAAGGTATTACCCTAACTCCCCAGCCACCTCTTAGGTGTCCTTGTTCTGGATATTTCGAGTTTTATTTCTGGCGCTTAAATTCTGTTAAAGGTGTCACTGGATTCCTTGTAGACAGTCAGGGTGACAAATGACTTCTTCATTCCCAACAGTTCAAAGGTGCTGCTGTTCTTCAGCGATCCTAATATCATCATGTTAACATGAGAGCATCAGAAAGTGCACAGGCTTATTAAGCGTCATTGAGGCTTTGTAATGAGATACAGCAACACTTTACGTGAGATCACAGTTTAAATCCAAGCACTCTTGACTTCACATTTATTGAAGCCAGTCCTATTTTGTACAACACTGAGCATATATAGGGTAACTCCGGGAACCACAGCTGTGACTTAGTTAATGATCTCAATAAATCCTACTTAAGCAGAGACAAGAGAATTATGCAAATTACTATTTCTGTGCCACATGCACTTGATAACTGAAGACATAGCACAAAAAGCTTCAGCATGTAAACACCACTACTTTTTTAACCCAGATATGGGAAAAATATATGAGAAAGGGAACAGCTTACAAAATTTTGCTTCAGAAAAGTTGCAATTGCAGAACATTTATTATGAACCTAATCAAGGAAACATACAGAACGCATATGTACAAAAAAGGGATGGTTAAAACCCAAGAAATATGACAGATTTTTGAAGTATAGCTGTGTATGTGACAAAGAATTACTTTTCTGAACAGACCTTTCCAAAACATCATGATAAAAGCCTCTGCCACTCACACTTGGCAGCTAGATAAGATGTCTTCCATCAGCCTCTTGTAGACCCAGGCATCACCTTTAAGCCGCTGTCGCCAAATACCCACTGCTTCAGGTTTATCGAGTTGACACACTTCTAACTCAAACTCCATAGTTACTTTACCAAAATCTGACCGTGTTTGACATTTCAGGGTGTAACTGTAGAAAACAAAAAGGAAAACAGAATAATCATTGAACCATTTAATGTTTGTTTTGTAATGTAATTTTAAATTAATCCAACCACTTCACAAAAAATATCCCACTGCTACTCAGAATATTCGGAAACAACCCACAGTTTAGTCAACTGAGAGCTTTGTGAATACTTTATTAACAGAGCACTATTGTTATCATTATGCCCAAGGACCAGGCGTGCAGCACCAATGTTCTACCCACAGAAATCCTTGCTAGCCACAGACACCCATCCTCAGAGCTGGAATCATGGAAAGTTTCCCTTTTTTTCACAGATAAGACCACTCTTCTCTCTTGTGGTTATAGCTTAGCTGGTGTGAAAACAGGAAAATCTGAATGCACAGTTTGAAACATTACAATGGGAGAAGGTGCTGCAGTGCAATCCAACATCCTTCCAGATTCTGAGCTTGGAAATTCATCAGAGGCTGATGTACACTCTGATGTTTTACGATGCCCATCATTGAAATACTCAAAAACTTGAGAAAATGCATATTAAAATTGCGCATAATATTTATGTCATGTGTTGGGTACTCAGGAAACAGGCATTCAGTTTCAGCAGATGTAAAAACCAATCTAACCAATCAGTACCTTAGTCTAGCTAGTAAATCCTACAAGTTAATCCACCCAATGGTGTCAATATTCTGCACAGCTTTTAAACTATACGGATTTCTTGGCTAAGGCTAATGTCTTTTAACAGCCAAGAATGAGGGTTAAAAAATTAGTACATTATTCCTCCAAATTGTCCCATTTGGTCACGTGACTATAACCAAGCAAACTTTTTGTATTTAAAATTTCACAAGACACAGGCTGACGTGAATTTTGCCTTAATTATGTCACTAGTATTGGCTGATATCTGTTGGTCAAAGAGCTCTGCTGGAGCTCACTAAACATAGCTTTGCATTGTGTCAACAAGTTTTAATCGCACACATTAATTTAGTGCTTTGTACATTTTCTATAAGATTATTTTACAGCTGTGCCAAGAAAGTAAGCTTAAATACTTCTCTTTATCAAAGACTGGAGTACCAACTATTTAGACAAATATAAGTTGAAGTCATCATATTTTCCACTTACCCCTTCTGAACATATTCCACATGCTTCTTTGAAAGAACAGTGATTATTTCATTCAACAGTTGGTCTGGATTATGTAGCTGAGTGATGGTAACATTGCAGTGTGCCTAAAAGTAGTCGGCTTGTTAAAACAATTCAAGAAATAAAAAAATAAAAATATCTCTCCTAAAACCGAAGACATTGCAAAATGTTTTCACAAAGAAAGTTTCAGAACAGCTAATCTTAGCGAAAAATGCTTCAAATTCCCCAAAATATCACCCTGCTGCATGCCCTACAGTTGGGAAATGGCCTAGAGCTGAGACTGAATGTTTCCGATGTCAAGGAACAGGCACAGTACTACGCAGTTTTTTATCTATAAAGGTAATTCACTATTCAAAAATTTACTGTTATAAGTAAAGTATACTTTATATACATCACATCTAGTACTTCATATAAGGGCTTTTGCACTAAGTGAACTCTTGAACAACTTGCAGACACTCGCAGGTAACAAGAGAAAGCATATGCCAATTGTAACAAATCAACATGTCCTATCTAGCTTCTGAAGTCACAAAAGCAGCCGAGAGAAGTCAAGATTGTAAAACAGCTTCAGAAATGAACATACGTTGATGATGCAATGTCAAAGGGTGGTTCTTGAGGTTCTTATTCAGACGAATATGTATGCAGTTCCCTGAGACAAGTGCTGTAACACTGAAATACAGTCACGTCTTATGATTCTGTACTTGTGAGTCTCTAGAATTTTTCAGGAATTCATCAGGAATTTTGCATATACTATAGATAAAGGAAACTAAGGCAGGAGGTTAAACATATTTAGAGATAGAATATCTAGCTTCCAGTTCCTCAGGTTCCTGAACTATTTGCCCAGTCTAGACTCCTGTACAATGGGCTGGTCAGGTTTGTAGCCCAACACATGTCCTGAACTTGTATGACCCCCAGCTTGCCTTGGACAAATGTACCTCGGACAAAGCTTCCAACTGAAATACAGTGTCTGAATTCCCTGTATACAGGATGAAAAGCACAAAATGGTCCTGTGACTGACAGACAACTCTCACTGTGCAGTAGATGTGCCACCAGCCAGTCAGCTGAAGGGACATATCACTGGCTTCTACAGAACTGCTTGTGCCTCGGTACACAACCTGAGTTCTTTCATGGTAATTACATTTTTCAAACATGTTGCCTACAGATTCAAGCACAAATTCCTCCTTGTATAGCTTCTGGAGTACATATGTTGCATTTGAGTGATGTATAACAGAATAGCTAGGTTTGGAAGGGACCTCTGTAGGTCATCTACTCTAACACCCCTGCCAAGGCAGGTTCACCCAGAGCAGGTGAAAAAGGAATATGTTCAGGTGAGTTTGGAATGTCTTCAGAAAGGGAGACTCCACAACCTCTCAGGGCAGCCTGTTCCACTGCTCTGCCATCTTCAATGGAAAGAAGTTCTTCCCCATGTTGAGGGTGAAACTTCTTGTCGTTTAGTTTATAGCCATTGCTTCTCTTTCTGTCGCTGGACACCTCTGAAAAGAGTCTGGCACCATCCTCTGCCACTCTTCTGTGGTATTTGTATGTATTTGTGAGGTCCCCCTTTCAGTCTTCTCCAGTTACTAGGCCAGCTCCCAAAACTACATGTTGATCTGCAGTATGCATCTGCTTCTGGCTGTTCCTGTTTCTCCAGTTGGGAGAACAGAAGAGAAGATGACTTGGTCACTGATGTTTTCCACCTGCCTCATGAGAGTTTTATAACCTTCCTTGATCCTGCTCATTCTTTGGCTTGCAGCATCATTTGTATCCATGTGAAAAAGCAGCCTGTGCTCTTGACAAGTTATGATACCCTCTCAGCAACATCATGGATCTTAAGACCCCAGCAGGCAGCAAACTTGCCTTGACTCTCTATCAGGCAAGCAGATCGGTTTCTCACTGCCCCTTAATAGAGTCAACCACTATAAGTACTCAATGTTTCTTTTTACAGTAACCTCTGTGTCCTGCTGGTGCAGGTTCTCCTTGGCCTTCCTTGTGGACATCTAAAGCCTTTAAAGCATCATATCTGGTTTTGTTCTGAATGTTGGTGGATGGAGGTTGAATTGGAGCACTGCTGTTGTGGGTCACCAGGGTCTAAGTTATCTCCTGCTCAGTGGTATCCGTTGTAGGTGGTTGGTTCTAAAACCACATCTCTAAGTCTGTTTCAGCCCTCTAACACTGCACAATCTGTTAACTCTGTCTTATAATTTGGCCACCTACCACAACAGGTGGTGCTCACTTCATGCAGAAAGTAGCCTTTTCTTTAAAAGTACCTGGGCATCTACTACAAGCTATCACCTGTACTGACATCTCCTTCCTTACCAGTTCCATCTGAATGGAAGCATCAGACTTCTCAGGGGCTTCTCAGTAGACACATTGTTTTTGGCTCCAAGATTACTCACCATTACAGCAGAGACCTAGAGCACTTAGCATTTAGCTGGGCTGTGGATGTACTTACAGAGTACAGCACCCTCCCCGCACACCCTGCCCATGCAAACTGCTGCACCACATCCCTTTGCTGCACTACCCTGTTTGCCCACCCTGTTTGCTTGTGCTCCCTGGAGCTTTCATATCTCCCTTACTGCTTCTGGAAATGCTCCTCCGCACCTGGTTGCCTGCTGAGGGCTTCTGGGTCCTGCCAGGGCTTGGAGCTGCTGCTTGGGTGTCCTTGATCTCAGAAACCCTCCTGTACAGCTCGATGTAATGCTCACACCCAGACTTACCTCATTTGCCACTGCCATATGATGTGCATTCTACACAGCTAATATTAAACTCATGAGTCATTTCAGTAAGAACAAATTATTAATGAAATATTAAAGTGCTCTGTGCAGCACACTACCTGAGGAACTGCTTTTTCTGTGGTTACTTAAAGAAGGATAAATAGCCAACCAGCTTGGATGCAGTGACATCGAAACCTTAACAGTCAACATTACAGGAACACTACACAAGGTGTAGTTATTTAGGCTCTAAGTGTAATTTCAGATTCCCTAGACATCTAAAGATGACTCCAGAATGGACATACTGCTTCTGGGCTACAGAAACCTAAGCCAGGAATATTAGCATTTTTCAGTGGGACAGCTAGCAGAATTTCTATACAAATAACATGAAAAACTGTCAGCTAGGGCTCTTTTAAAACCATCCTGCTTCCTTCACATTTGGTTTAGATGGGCTATAAGCAGCAATGGTGAAACTCCTACCTCAATCTGATGACTTGCCTGAGTTCAGACTAAAAGATGTCTCACTGTGATAACTGGGGCACTGTCTTGTTAACAGCAATGCAGTAAGAGCACTTTACTGTAGAAAGCAGGCAAGACAGGTCACAGAAGCTTTCACAAGAGCATTTCTAAAGTTATTGGATGTTTTCAATAATAATAATAATAAATATAGTCCTAATACTTGTTCTCTTGTAAGACTTTTGCACCAACCATACCTTTAGCTTCCTTGGACAACTTCTAGTGCATCGTTTCTTCTTGCTTGGCGTAAGCATTGTGATCACTTTATCTAGGCCTTTTTCAAGATTTCCAAATATTTTGGCTTTTCGCTTCTTTTGGCTGCTATCCATGTGACCTAGGTTGCGATCTAATTCCACTGAGTGACACCTGTTACATGGACAAATCAATCTGTTATTTTTCTCTCAGTGTTAAAAAATTAATTATTTTGGACATGTCACTAAAATACTACCAGACATGCCAGAACAAAAAAATCAATTTCAGTGCAGTATATTATAGGAGTTTCTGTTTGAAAGTTTGAAAGGTTTAAATCCAGAGATGTATCTAGAAACTGCTGTCCTCTGGAGAACTAGACTAAGAAGGAACTTACATTACGGAAAACAGGAATATGTCCTAAAGATAATTGAGTTACATAGTTTTAAAACTTTTCTGTACCATCAGTGTTTTCTAGTGAAAGTAGAAAGGGGCTTAAGGGAGGTTTTTACCAAGAGAATAGAAATTACTGCTTGCTGCTGTAACAAGGCTTCCTAGGCGGCACATGGATTAAGGTAGTCCTGCTCTAAATCAGGAGTGTACACAAATAACTGGACACTTACCTTGTTTCGGGAAGAACCTCAGCTGCTGTGAATTCATCTGTGTTTGTCAGGTTTGTGGGTTTAATTGGGGTGACTGCAGTGAACTGGCTCTCTGAAAGAAAGCATCCAAGCCAAACAGGTATGTCTTTGCATAAAATATTTTCTTTTTTTCAGCAACAATTTCTCATTATTAATAATTTATTTCAAAAATCAGATCCCTTTACTATCTCAGGTCTGTATTTTCAAAATGATAAAATATGGTTTTAATATAACAACAATACTACCTCTACTCTACAAATTAAAACTGCAACTGATTTCCCCAGGGCCCTACAAGTCACACCTTAAGAGTCAGAAATGCTGTTCAATATTAGGAATTTCAGGATCTGAATTGCTCTCTTGCTCTGCCACTGGTCCCACAATAAATACTGAGCAATCCACTGCATTAAATAGTTTGGTTCTTCACTGATGCTTTTCCCTTATACAAAGGTTGTAAGTTTATATAGCCGTGTTTAATACATGGTGTAGATGTTACATAGCAGCCTAAAAAATCAGTGTCTGCAGAGCATGGCTTTGAATGTGCAGGAGAAAATGCTAAGTGGAATAGTCATCAAATGAGTTGGCACAATTAAACCCAACTTCAGTGTTCAAAGTTTCAGCTTTCTACAGAATTGCACCTGATCCCAGACAAAAACCCTCAAAATTTCCAATGAATACTTCCACTTTTCTACTTCTAGGAAAGTGTTAATGCCTTTCCTGAATCAAAGATTTTTCAATGCATCAAAGAATTAGCTTTCATTGTTTCATAATCAAAAATCTAAATAAATGAGCTAAAACAGCATTTCTGCATTTCCCATTTCAGAGAGTACCTATTTTGCTTTTTAAACTTACCATGAAGTTAGACTTCACATTATTGCATACAATTTTAAGACAAACTCGTGAAAGACTGGTCTTTTTATTGCAATTCTTTAAACCCTTTATGAATGAATGAATGGCCAGTCTCTTCGCGAACGAAGAACCGGGGAAGGTCTTTCCACCTTCCAGCCTGCGCATTGGATTTTTTAGGTGAGACACAGTGTGCGCGGAACTGAGCCCACCCTTTAATCCTGAGGTTCATCTGCCGGGGCCAAGCACGCTTGGACGGTGGCAGCGAGGTCCTCAGGACGTAGATGGATTGCCTTACGGG